CACACACACACACACACACACACACACACACACACACACATACATACACACATGTATATAAAATTGTGGCAGGATCTGATATCTGAGCAAACTGTTAGCATTTAATAATTTAAGATGTACTTTCGTGATAATATCAATACGCAATCAAGAAAGATCTTTAATTTACATAAAACTGTCAGTACGCCACAGAGCACTAAGGTACTTTTGCACTGTGGTCTTACTGTCTTAATGTAGGGTTATGTAGCAACTAATCCGAACGCTACAAACCCTCACAATCAGCAACGAGTTATGTGCCAATATAATTTGATACTGCTTATCAGAACATCAGGTGAGGTTCCTGCTTTTCTTTCCAAAGAATCATTTACACCAAGTTTGAGTTGGCAGGCTTGGTTCTCACAGACTTTGATGGCATGTTAGAACCAAATCTGCACCTGGGAATCGAAGGCCTTCTGACTGATGTTTCTGGATTGCAGCCAGTTTGAAGGGACCCAATCAGTTTGGTATCTGATGGGACAAGCAGACTGGAGGAGCATTCAAAACCCTAATTGAGGACATGATATTTAAGGATAAACCAAAAGCAAGCACAGGGACATTTTAGACAGCAAGTCTATAGGGTCAAGAGAAGGTAGAAGATACGTACTAAAAGGGAAAAGGGCAGCCTAAAAATTCTTGGAATAACACTTTAATGCTGGAAAGTGCAAAGGTGTGGAGTTCTTTCCAGAGGATGGCAGGAGGATAACAGCTAGCCTCATCAAACAGTCATGGCAAGAGCTTGCAGAGAAAGTGAGCAGCCATGCCGTGGTGCACCTATGGAGGTGCTGACTTTCAAGATAAGACATGAAACTGCCCTCCCTCTGCCATCTCTGAGGGATGTAAGAGATCCCAAGAAAACATTTCAAAGAAAAGCAGAGGAATTGTCCCCAGATTTCTGGTCAATATTTGCCCTCAATCAATGTTATTTGTGGGAGTTTATTATGGGCCAAACTAGCTACTGTGTTTCCATCATTACAACAGTGACTACACTTCACTCGTGCTTCATTCAATATAATGTGCTTTGAGACATTTGGTGTGTGAACAAACACTATATAAATGCAAGGTTTTCTTTCTTCCTTCCTGGAGTCAACATGGAAATACCTCAACTGACTACCTTGCCAATTATTACTGACTCTCTTAAATTTTGCCAAAATTGTTGCTAAGAAATACATTCCTTGTACTAAAGGAATTTATGGGTAACTATTTCAGTGTTCAGTATTTCTGTCACACAGTCAATGTACAGTCAGCACAAGGTGTTTCATTATCATTCCACGTCAATCACATATATCAGGAGATTAAATCAGTTGGGAGTTTGTTTGAACAATGCACTGTTTGAAATACCATAATGCTAAATTGTAATCTAGGTTAATATTTGTACTTTGCAGTAGCTGTGTTTATATAGGTTTGCATCTATAATTAAAATAGCTATACAAAAATATCTGCATTTCTGTTCTGCATTGTGTGCTCCATTGTATAACATTTCCTCAGTTTTAGTTTAACTGTTGAATTTCAGAATGAAATCCCTTTTACAGCTTGCACTTTGTACCTGTGCAGGCGACTGCTGCAAACACCCAGCACTGCCCATATTGAACTCTCTGACAACCACGATTGTTCCACTCATGAAGGATGGCAACACTTCCATTCCAATTCCATGGGCACACCCCTCCATAATATGGCTCATGCCATCTGCCTTCAAGTATACCTCTGTCATCACAACAATTTACCTGAAAAAGTTGGAAGGTGAATCTGTGTTAACATGGTTATCTAGGTTTTATTCCCAAAACTACCAATAAAATTATATGGTGTCATCACAAGGTTATTGCAGCAACTTAAGTTGAATATGTAGCCATTGAAAGAATTAAGCTAGTGCAACAGAAATAAAGTCATAAAAATAATTAATAGAAGCAAATAAATAATGAAGGATGCATGAATGAGAGGCTGATTGAAAGAATAGCAGGACTTTTGATCAGTAAATAACTCAATGGAATCTCTGGATAATTCAAGCAGGACTAAATACTAGTATTTGTTAATTGCTCCATGAATTTCTTTCCCTTATCCTGCATGGTGACTTATATGGAAAGAGAAAGGGCCTGTATTTGTAAAATTTTTCATAATCTCCAAACATCCCAAAGCTAGTGGGCTCCTCCAATGAAGTGATTGCAGTATTTTGGAATTTACAGCAGCCAGATTATATACAGCAATGTCTCTCACACACAGCATGAGATAATGACAAGATGATCTCATTTTAATGGTGGTGATGAAAGGCTAAGTACTGGTCAGATCATCAGAGAGAACTCTTCTCCTTTTCTCCCCTCAAACTTGTACCATTGGATCGCTTACATTCATTTAAGTGGGAAGCAATTTGATCCTTCATTTAATGTTTCCTTTGAAAGGCAACATTTCCAATAGTGCCATACTCCAAAAGAAATTTTAAAACTGGTGCTCAAATCTCAGAATGGAACTTGAAACAGAACTTTCTGTCTCAGAGCTGAGAGTATTGCAGATTGATCCAAGGCCGATACATTATTGCAGTAGTGGAAAAGTGGTGCATAAAGAGAATGGAACATGTTCAGCAAGGTTTCAAATCTTCATTGTAAGATGTGTGTCTTAAAGGACATACACACCGCAACTAATGTCACAATCGCAAAACGTTTGATATGATCTGGAAGAAGGCAATAGGTAGACAGAAACATTAAACCGTAGAACGCAAGAAAACCATTCAGACAAAATAAAACCCAATGAAAGTCATTACATTAATAGCTACTAATATTTACTCTCATCAGCTATAAGGTTAAAATGCTTACCATTGCTGTCACCATTCTACTGATGTAAATGGGGTCATTTCTGCGTATGTAATCTCTTTCAGGACATTTCAGACATTTGCTATTATTGTCCAACAACTTAAGACAGATATCTATGATATCCTCTTCAAACTGAAAAAAGAAAAAAGATTTTCTTTAGGAACGTTGCTCAAGAATTGTTCAGCTTATTTCTCTATGTTGTCAATGCCCATGGTTGAGGGGTGCATGAAGCTGGTGCCTATGGATTATGTGCTGATATGCTAGTGTGTGGTGACAAAGATGGATGCACCCGACATCCAGTGGTGAGCTGAAGTACCTGCTCTGACTTACAAGTTGAGAATTCTCGACATCTAGCATGATTCTTTAAAAACCTGGTTTGAATTCATGTCAATTGTAGAGGACTGGGACGGGCTTCCCAACATAGAGTCAGCCCGGTCATTAATGAGGTGTGTAAGGTTATTAACAGAACCAGCTCACAGCCTTAAAAAGCCCCTGGTGAAAATCGGAAAGGCAGAACTGGGGTCAGAATCAGATCACACCTATCATTTTTAAGAGACACCTGACTCATCCCAACTGATGAATGTCCAGGCCACTATCACCAACAGTAATGTGTGTGCTACAGTTTTGTAGCAGAGGGAAGCAGAATTATATTCATGAGAGATTGAATGCAACTTTTAAACTTACCTTCAATATGTGGAACTTAGCCGTTGAGTCACTAGTAGGAACCTTGCACCTGCTCACGTGAGTTAGCTGCATTCATTCAAAGGTAAATTTCACTGAGCCTGCAGGAGACTTAATTTCAGTCTGTGTGCAGGGATGAATATAGTTCGTGGGGTATCAGATGCCATCATACGATTTTTAAAATTGAAATATTGGTTGACCAAGAGCCAAAAGTCAGACGGTACAGTGGTGATGGGTGGACAGGACTTGTTGTAAGTTCAAAAAGTGACAAGAAAAGAATTCAGCTCACGTGTTAAATGCAGCTCAGTAATAAATTATTCAGTGATTTCAAATACCTGTCCAAAGGACCATGGTCGCTGTTGAATACACTGACTAGTACCAGTGAAGATGGTCCCCTCTTCATTCATTACATATTCCTCACGCTGTTGTTCACTGTCCAGAAAGACTGCATCCTCTGACAGGAGAAACCACAGACTTATTAACACAACAACCATGTGTAATTTCTGTATGCAATATAAGGTGGCTAACAAAAAACATTACACTCGGAGTGATATTTAAGATCAACAAATTAACAAGTTTATATGAAGAGGATAATGTTGCACATCTACATTTATTCGTTAAACAGCTAAAGTCCAGAAATAGGATGGAGCTGCAGCTGCTTTATAGACATGTAACAGATGCTGAAGAACCCAAGGTGGTGCGTGTACTCATCCTGCACAGGGTTTCCATATTATTTAAACTTGTTCCATACTTGTGAAGATTGCATGTCTGAAAGTAGAGATAAACTTAGTGCAAGTGCTTAAATCATTTTTCAGCATCCTGTGCAAAATTTAACTGATACTGACTACAGTATTCACCTTGCACATTGCAACCAGTTATCAACAGCCAAAACATTGCAAACTAGTCATCAACAACCAAAACATTGGTCTTTAAAGGGAGCACTGGAAGCTACTACCTGAAATTCAAAAGATTCTTCTTATCCAGACTTAGACAAGCACATATGCTCCTTCCTTTTCCACATTAGAACTGTTACCTGCCCATTCATTCCCCTCCCTAAGCCTCCCATTGCTCTCCTCTCCCCAAATTCCTGAGGCAGCATATTTTGCAGCTTCATAGGAACGTACAAACATAGGAACAGGAGTAGGTCATTCAGCCCCTCGAGCCTGTTCTACCATTCAATAAGATTGTGGCTGACCTGTGGCCTGACTCTATTTACTTGCTTTTGCCCCACATCCCTTAATACCGTTGCTTAACAAAAAAAAATCTATCTCAGATTTAAAATTAACAACTGATTCTGCATCCACTGCCATTTGTTGAAGAGAGTTCAAAACATCCATTACGCTTTGTGTGTGGAAGTGCTTCCTAACATCTCTCCTGAAAGGCCTGACACTAATTCTCACATCAGAACCCCTAGTTCTAGAATCCCCAATCAGTGGAAGTAGTTTATGTTTGTCTACCCTCTCTTTTCCTGTTAATATCTTGAAGACTTCAATCAGATCACCCCCTAAACATTTTAAATTCTGGATAAAATAGGCCTAATTTGTGTAATCTCTCCTCGTAACTTAACCCCTGAAGTCCAGATATCAGCTCCCACTCAAGTGCAGAGCAGGCTGAGTCTATCCTAATGAGGCCAATGGATCAATTTATCTTCTTATGAGGCGTTCTGAATTTTCTCCTCACTCCAACACTACTTTCACTCCTTTTCTATATCCTCCAGCTCTGCCCACCTCCACAACCCAGCACACTCAATTCCCCAGTTCCACTGATGTCAGAGAAGAGCCACAGAGGTGGTTGAGAGCAGAGCCAGGTGGCAAAGGACTGGGTGTGAGATTAGTGTTGCAGAGTCAGGGGTGTGTGGTGATGCGAGCTATAAGTAAAAGTTAAGTTGCAAAAACCCTGTATGCAGCTAAAAACACTTAGGAGCACTTGAAACTAGTGAAACCACCTGTGAGTACTTAAAAAGCCAATGTAATAGGCAACTGAAAGTGGTTTTTTTAGGGAATTACATAGTTAAAAATGCCTAAAACTTTGTAACTAGGCTTTGCAAATCAATTACCAAATGCTCTATTTGGCATCCAGGAGAGAAAGTCCTTGATGTTGCCATAGTAATCAAAAAGCATATTTTAAATATCGCCAGTCAGTGTGCTGATTTAAGTTCAGGCCACTTACGGCCTGTAATATTGGACTTCCCACCCCACTCCCATTCCCAAACATGTTGCAACACTTGTTTCTGGCCATGGTACAAAATGTCAATGGATTCAATTATGTTTTCATACACCACACAAAGTTGGTCTGTCTTCAATCCCTTTTTAAAATCTGGTTCCAAACGTCTCATAATCTAGATTCAAAGGTTCCATACCTTTACACCATGGATTGAAGAGGAGGATGAACTCCCCAATTTTGTATATCATGACTTGGTCTCCATTCATTCTTAGAAGAGATAAGTTATATTGTCCAATCTTGGCATTCGGAGATGGACATATGCCCAAGACCATCCTGGTTCCGGTGTGTAAAACAACTGCTCGCCAAAGGTTTGCACTAAATGAATTTAATTCAAGCAGGATTTTGGTTCCAGATGTTGTTGAAGGTTTTGGCCCTAAAATAAGACATGAAAGTTAAACAAGCCGACATTGAGCCGGATTGCATTTGTACATGAACATACCAGCCAATTCCAAACTTCACCACTTTTAATAAAGTGAACAGGTGAAATATATTTAAAAATATTGTTTAAAGTGTCCCTACTGGGGTGCAAGTAGATTGACTTCTGCACAACCCTGATATTTTCTTGTCATAATATAATTTGATGACATGATAAACATAATCTGGTAAATCTTGTCCTCTATGACAAAATGGTTGCAAGGGGCTTCATGTCCATTGGTTTATTTGTAGACAGTCTTTGGCCTATTTCATGACTACCAAGCAAGTTATCTCCTGCTTATTTTAACAACCATACTGAGTGTCACAGTATTAAGTTTATAAGAGATTCAAGATTATAATCCATTTCTTTGTCTTTTCTTTTTCGAGCCATATAATAGGAATTAATTCAAAATACTTCAACTTGTATCTTCCAAATAGGGTTCATTATCTATACCAAACAAATGAAGGGAGTTTCTTCAGATGAACAGGCTAGGTGGTTTTGGAGGCAAAATGAAAAATAGGAACTTGCTGTCTGTTCTTTCCTAACCATGAAGGAAAACCTGAAGATGTGGATCTCACATGTTTAACCATCCCCATTTGCAGAGTAAGTAATTCCTTTATGTATGAATGTGTTTCCTAATTTCACTCGTTTGTAGTAATTGATTTCAGAGGAGTTGTTAAGCCCTTACATCATAGTCATCATTACAAGTCTCTTCAAGAGCCAACAGTATCATCTAATAATGTGGTGCACGCTGACCTCATCGTATGTTACTTTTCACCAAGAAACACAAATTGTATCATTCACAGATATTGTTAATAAATTAAGAAAGGTGGGGTAAGAGTGTGAGTAATTACAGAAATATGTGATATTCATATATGTCATCTCATGCTCCCCAGCTCATTCATAACTGACAACCTGTCTCAGCACGGAGTATTACTGCGCCGTTGTCAATAAATTCATCACTGCAAGACTGCAGTGTGAGATGGAAAGTCTGTCCCCGCCTGACTATCAGCCGGCTGGTGCTGATTTCAGTGGTCCTGTGTTCATGGTTGTTCTTCCCACACTGCAAATCGACAGTGAAATTCATTTCAATAACTGTAACAGAAACCACAGAATATTCAGGTTATAAAATGCAAGAGAAAATAAAGGCATCAACTGCAACAATTTGTCTTGTGCTGCACGGATATAGTTCCCAGCTGTGTAAGAACTGGTCAAAATTGGTTAAGGACTGGTTAAGAGTCGCTGACTCACTATCACCCACTTCTCACTATTGGACCAAGTCAACTTTTATTCCATTGAATGATTAACATAAACTTCTAGATTGGTTCATAGAAGCAAGAATAATGGAATCATTTCAGAAAATAGTTATATCAGTTATTGGGGATGACTTTTGATCCATTTCAGCATCCTCCAGAGATTCCCAGCATTCCAGAAGTCAGTCTTCAGCCAATTCAATTCATCCGCATGATATCAAGAAACGGCTAGAGATACTGGATTCTGCAAATGTTGAGAGTCCTAACAACATTCTGCCATTAGTATTGAAGATGTGCTCCAGAATGTGCCACCTCCCTAGCCAAGACAGTGTCAAAGCTAGCATCTCTCAACCATGTAGACAATTGCCCAGATATGTCCTGTACACCAAATCCAACCCAGCCAATTACTGCTCCATCAGTCTACTTAGCAACAATTTGCTCACTGTCGCTCAGTTTGGCTCTGTCAAAGCCACTCTGCTTGTGACCTTGTTATAAACTCAGGTCAAACATGGACAAAAGAATCAAATTCCAGAGATAAGGTGAGTGACTAGATCTAACATCAGGGCCACATTGATCTATTGTGGCATAAGGGAGCTCTAGCAAAACTGAACTCAATGGGAATCAGGGGAAAACGCACCACTGGTTGCAGCCATACCTCACACAAAGGAAGAGACTGTTGTTTCTGGAGGTCAGTCATTTCAGCTCCAGGACATCTCTGCAGAGGTTCTTCAGGGTAGAGTCCTAGGCCCTATCGTTTTTAGATGCTTCATCAACGACCTCGCCTCCATCATAAAGTCAGAGGTCATTTGCTGATGATTGCACAATGTTCAGCACCATTCCCGACTCCTCAGATACTAAGGCAATCCATGTCTAAATGTCAGTAAGATCCGGACAATATCTAGGATGGGCTGACAATAAGCAAGTAACATTCTCAAGACACAAATGCCAGGAAATAGCCATCCCTAATAAGAGACTATTTAACCATCGCCCTTTGACATTCAATAGCATTGCAATCACTGAATTCTCCTGTTAACATCATGGGGGTTGCCATTGGCCAGAAACTGAACTGGACTTTCTATATAATCACTACAAGAAGAAGTCAGCAGCTAGGAATCCTACAGTGAATAACTCAACTCCTGAACCCCAAGTCTGTCCACATCTATAAGGTGCAAATTAGGATTGTAGTAAAACACTCCTCACTTGCTTGAATGAATGTTGCTCCAACAACACTTGAGAAGCTAGATACAATTTACACAAAGCAGCACACTTGATTGGCATCACATCCACAAATATCCACTGTCTCTACCATCGACTCTCAGTAGCAGCAGTGTGTACCATATCAAGGTGCACTACAAGGCTCCTTAGCACCTTCCAAGTCTACGACTATTTTTATTTAGAAGGACAGGACAGCAGATACATAGGATCATCACTACCTACAAGTCCTCCAAAGCACTCACCACTCTAACTTGGAAATATATCGTCTTTCCTTCACTGCTGCTGAATAAAAATCCTGAGAATTCCCTCCCTCACGGCATTGTGGGTCTACCTGCACCAAATGGACTGTGGCACTTCAAGAAGGCAGTACAGCACCACCCCTTTCTCAAGTGCAACTAGGGATGGGCAATAAATGCTGGCTCAGCCAATGACAAACACATCCTGAAATAAATAAAATAATTGTCTTGCTGGAAAGAGGTCATCTGGGTGAATAGTGCTCCTTGATTATAATTATCTTGTGATTTGTCACATTTCTTTTTAAAAAAGGTGCCACTCCCTAGTATGGGTCATGGAATAATCACGATCATTGTTTCTTCAAATAACCATGAAAGGAATGTTGGCAAAGTGTTTAATAAAGATTGAGCAAATTACTTCCACTGAACATTCTAGATGTCAGCATTTTGTCTGCATTACAAACTGGATTTTTCAAAAGATGCCAATGAATGATAACATGTGTGCATGTATTGGAGCTATTAACTTGTTTACATTCACAGTTTAAATTTTCTGGTGTTATTTCCCAAAACTGAATTTGAGAAAATGAATAAAATGTGATCAGCAAATGGTTATGTATATTTGTTGCCTACTATTTAACAGAAGTATTTAAGCCCCTAATCATATACTGCTCAAAGCAGAAATGGAGCGATAACATTTTACATGCTATCAGTATGTTGACAACCAGCATTTACATGGCAAAATCCTTATCCTTCCTAACACTTTTTCACATAATCCTTTCCAATGCTTCTCCTTTGTCATCCAGCTGTGTGGGTTTAAATCTGCCTATTTTGATTCTTAGCTATCAAGTTGTAGTTGGGGAATTATTTACAATAAATTATCTTCTCACTCCAAAACTGTTCTCAAGTATCTATTCTTGGCTCACTCCTACTTCTCTTCAATGTGTGACCACTTAATTGACATCATTTAAAACCACTATGTCAGTTACCTCACCACCACCAGCATTGTAAACATCTCCAGTACATCCTGATCTTAATTGCTCCACTACTGACAGACATTAGTTATCAAGGTCCTAAGCTCTGCAATTCCCACCCCCATTCTCTCCATCTCTGGTAGCTTGGTGGTTAGCACTACTACCTTATAGTGCCAGGGACCAGGGTTCAATTCCACCTTTGAGTGACTATCTGTATAGAGTTTGCACATTCTCCCTGTATCTGTGTCAGTTTCCTCCCACAGTCCAAAGATGTACAAGTTAGGGTGGATTGGCCATGCTAAATTGTCCATAATATGCAGGCTAGGTGGAAAATATAGTCTGGGGACATTGGGCTGTTCTTTGGAGCATTGGTGTGGACTGGATGGGCCAAATGGCCTGCTTCCACACTATAAGCATTCTTTGGTCTCTCTTTCATGTTTTAAGCTGCCCCTTAACACCTATATCTCATCTATTTTAATCCTCATGTGGATCTGTATCACCTTTTGATTTGATTTATTATTTGATTTATTTATTTCATTTATTTATTTATTATCATGAGTACTGAAATACAGTGAAAAGCTTTGTTTACAAGTGGTACAGGCAGATCATGTTAAAATAAGGATGTACAGATCAAAAAGACTTAGACTGCAGAATGCAAGATGGCACTGATACTGGATGACTCCTTGCGAGCTCCCTACAGCAGATCTAACTCTAACGTTTCTTTGTTTCTTAACACTCTTGTGAAGCACCTTGGCGTGGTTTCGCTATTGTAACAGGTGTTGGAGAAATACAAATTGCTATCGTTATGGTCTCATCTGAAAGACATGACCTCTGGCAGTGCAGCTTTTATTCTATGCTGTACTCGAGAATCAGCTCAGATTGTTGTGCCCATATTCCTTGAACACACAATCTACTCAGAGTGATACCTCTGCGAAATGTCTTAATTCATTTAGTCCCACCTCAGCAAGTTTTGCAATCGTTGCATCATCCAGTACAAATATCTTTTTCCTCAGTTCTCTGCTCAAAGGCAGGTCTGACCCTTTGCCCCATAACTTCCACCTTGGGTAGGGCAAGGAGGCAGGTTCCAAATCCACCTCAGGCAGAACTGGGGAGTGAACACTGTTCTGTTGACACCATTCAGACCCATATGAATATATGACTTCGGAACAAGAGCAGGACATTCAGCCCCTCTAGCCTATCTACCATTTAATAAGATCTACCATTTAATAAAATCTACCATTTAGTAAGATCTACCATTTAATAAAGTCATGGCTGATCTGATTGTGGCCTCAAATCCACTTTCCTGTCAACCCTTGATAACCTTTAAATTGCATGTTAGTGAACAATCCACCTATCTCTGCCTCCAAAGGAACCCCACCTCCATCCCTTTCTGAGGACAAGACTTCCAAAGACTCATCATCCTCCAAGAAAAAAAAGCCTTTGCATCTCATGTCTTTATAGGGAGACTCCTTATTTTACAACTGTATCCCCGCTTTCTAGTCTTTACCACAAGGGAAATCACCTTTTCAACATTCAAATAAAAACCAAAAGATCTGTGGATGCTGTAAATCAGGAACAAAAACAGGAGTTGCTGAAAAAGCTAAGCAGGTCTGGCAGCATCTATGAAGAGAAAATCAGAGTTAACGTTCTGGGTCCAGTGACCCTTCCTCAAACCTGCTTAGCTACTCCAGCAACTTCTGTTTTTGTACCTTTTCAATACTCAGTCTGTCAAGTCCCCTCAGTATTGTATATCTTTTAATAAGTTCACCCCCAGCCTTCTAAACTCCAATGAATACAGACTCAACCTGTCTCACTTTTTCTCCATCCCAGGTAGCAGTCATTGAACTGCCTCTGAACTTTTTTGAACATACTTACATTCCTTCATTGATAAGAAGACCAAAACTATATACCACGTTCCTTCAATGTAAGGGACAGAACCTGAGCCTCCAGTCCCCTCTCCCTAGCCAGATCCTTCTCCACCATAAAACCCAGTGAGCTACCTTCCTGTCACAGCTATGATCCTTTTTGGACTGTGACCGGCAATATGAGCAGCAGCCACTAGCTCTGGCACTGCTAGGCGTAATGGAAACACGTTCCAATCAGATTGCCTAAACTTGTCTAAATCAATGTGAATCCTCCTTGCATCCTCCTCATAATTCACAATCCCGAATAACTTTGTATCACCAGCAAACTTGCATTTGGTTCTCTATTCCGAGTCATTTATATGTATCATGAATAGATGAGGCCAAACACTGTTTCCTGTGTTACAACACTACACATAACCTGTCAGATGGAAAAAGACTCACTTGTTCTCACTCTCTGTTTCCTTTCCTTTACACAGCCATTGAGTAATAGAGACATACAGCTCGGAAACAAACCCTTTTGACCAACTTGTCTGTGCCAACCAGCTTTCCAAAACTGAACTGGTCCCATGTGCCTGCATTTGGCCCATATCCCTCTAAAACTTTTTTATTAATGCACCTGTCCAAATATTTTATAAATATTGTAATTGTACCCGCCTCTACCCCTCCTTTGGCAGCTTATTCCATTAGCACACAACCCTCTGTGTGAAAACATTATCCCACAGGTACCTTTTAGTTCTTTCCCCTCTCACCTTAAATAATTCTCAATCCATGCTAGTAAATCATTCCAATCACGTATGCTTTAAATTTTGCCCACTGGCTTCTTATATCGGAGCATATTGAAAGTTTTCTTGAACCAAAGCATTTTCTACCTCAGCAGTGAGTTCTTTGTAGATTTTAGGATGAAGTCTGCCAGGGAATTTATCAGATTTTGGTTCCAACAATTTTGATAAAGTTGCAATACTTGTTACAATCTTGGACAATAGTAACCTGATTGGAGGATCAGGAAATTAACAATGCAAAGTGTAGGCATGAAGAGTGTGGGTTATTAGTATGTCAACTCAGATACAGAACGTGATGTTTATGAATTACCTAAAAATTAAAACCAGAAGAAATTGAACTCAGTTTTAGTGACAGTTAATTTGCAGTGGAAAACAGATTGACAAGGGATAATTAAAATAATCATTGTGTTAAAAGGGCAATTCAGAGGAGGGCTTGGTTAGTTCAGTTGGACGATGGCTGGATTGTGATGTAGAATGATGTCAACAGCATGAGTTCAATTCCTGCCTCACCTGAGGCTACCTTGAAGGTCCCACTTCTCAATTTTGCCCCGTGCCTGAGGCATGGTGACCATCAGGTTAAACTCACCGCCACTTGTTTCACTAATGGCAGAGCCACCCTATAGTTTGATATGCCAATGGCAACTTCACTTTGACTGAAATGTACCAAGTTTAATTGGGACAAGTTTAATTTGGATCTAGCACTCAAACGCAGCCTCTTTGCACCATGTAATGATGGGGAAGATAGTGAGATTCAGCTTTTGTGTAGGTAGCAATGAAGAGTCACAATTTGAATGGCAACTTTTGGATTTCTGTCTTTAGCTGCATTGGTAATCATCTGAAGTGACTGAGGCATTTGTTAATATGTATGATGAGAATATTAGCGTTAATTGTCAATATTTTGATAGTAAATTATGAGCCGATGTTATCCAGTTGATGAAGCATCCTATACTGAATATGCAGTCTTTTATTAGTGTAGAGTTCCTACATAGAGGCAAGAGTTGTAATAGCAGGGTAAGTTTAAGGAGGCCCATCCATGTTACTATTTTTGCTGAAAAGGGAAAACAGTTTTCTCCTAAATAGGCATCAGCTTGTGAAGTGCTACATCAACAGGCATTGACAGACAGGATGAATAATTTTTACACAGCTTGATTTCCAGTGTGGAGTCTTGATTGATGGAGCATAGTTCAGTGGCAAGATTATAATAGCGTGTGTCTATTTCTGGAAAGACACTACAGACTAGCAAAGTTTTGCACTAAGTGGTTTCTTACATAATTTATCCCTCAGATGCATATTAGGAGAATAAGCTTCTGAATTGGCCTTGTATGAGGGTCTGAGTAAAGGTAGTTGATGGCTTGCAGTGCAGTTTTGCAGCAATATTCTTAACAGCATGATTGCTGGCCTCCAAGGTGTACCTTATCAAGAGAAAATACACAAAGCAATCTGGTATTTCAGAAATTTAGAAGTTTAAAGGGTGCCTTGATCAAAACTTTCACCATTTTGAGGGGAACAGATATTCTAGCAGAAGTTGAACAGTGTATGTTAGTTTAGGAGTCTAGGATTGGGGCCATAATCTGAAAATTAGAGTCCAAATATATTTCAGGAATGAAATTGAAAAATGCTTCTACTCCAAAGTGTGATAGACATTTGGAACTCCCTAACTGATGCCTGGCTAATTGTTAAAATTAAAACTATGTTTGGCAGATCTGTGGTAACCACAAAGAGCCTAAAACCAGGGAGCACAACTTAAAAATAAAAGGGGATGCCACTTAGGTCTGAGATGGGGAGAATCTGTTTTACTCAGAGGGCTGTGAACATGTGGAATTCTCTACCACAGGGGACTATGGAGGTTCAGTTTTTGAATATGTTTAAAGTAGAGTCGATAGATTTCTAATTACCAATTGCATACAGCATTATCAAGATGGCTTCACTAAAAGGCATTGAAGTGTTCAATGAGCCATGATTGTACTGAATAGCGGGGCAGGCTCGACAAGATGAATATCCTTTTCCTAACCCTATGTTCCTAACCAAAGTTATTAAGAGACATTGGGCAAAAACGGGAATATGGAGTTAGTTGGCAGATCATCTATGATCTCACTGAATGACAAAACAGGCTCAAGGAACTAAAAAGCCTCCTCCTTTTCCATTGTTATTATGTTCTTCACCCCCTACATTTCAGCAAATCACATTGTTGGCAAAAATCAGTTTTCCCATGGTTCAGTTGCCACAAAATGCAGGGGTTAGTTCAGGTAGATACTGCTTGATTCAGTAAGAGTGTGAGTAACTTGTTTGGTGTGGTGATACTTGGTTAATGATCATTGCAAATAGCATCCGTGACAAAATACACTGCATCAGTTGCATGACAACTAAAAAGATAGCAACATGCAGTGAATAGAGCGTGGCTGTGGTTATCTTTAGCATTTTGCAATCCTGTTCAGCTATACCCTTCTAAAACACTTTTGCCTGAACATATTGACTATTTTTATGATGTCATTGGCTAGGCCAGGATTTATTTCCATTTCTCAGTTTGGGCACTTCACAGTTACTCTAATAGAACATGGAAGGGCAAAAGATTGTTAAACGATTTTAAGTATTACCATTTAAGACTAAGACAATTAAAGGAAAGGATTTTTGAAAAATTCTTATTGGAGACGAAGGACTGCAAAGGTATTAACTGGTACCTTACTTCAGCTTTTATATACAATTGAGGTCAGGTCTGAATGAATAGGTAAAAGAGGAAGTGTCAATGTAGATAAGATAATACTGATATTAAGAAGTAGCACGGTGCTAAAAGAAATGGTGATGTTCAAAGTAGAAAATGTACAAGACCCAAATGGCATGCACCCTAAAAATTGAAGAATGTCAGAGAGACAATAGCAGGGTGCTTTCAAACATCCACTGATGTGGAGATTTCCTAGATGACTGGAGTATAGTTGGTGAAACAGCTCTTTCCGCAAAGGGAGATGATGCAGAAGAAATTTACTGATATGATGACAGAGATCAGAAGCTTTAGTTAAACTGATGGACTGGAGAAAAATAGGGCCTTTCATTTAGCCAACCAGGTTGGAATCACAAGAGACTTTGGTAGGTTAATTAGGAAATAAGCACTGACTTACTTGGCATTTGGAAACCTATCCCCTCACCCACCTGTCACACTAACCCCTTGTGCACCCATGTCCCAACATTCGACTGATACCATATCCCCTTACTTACTCAACACTGGTGGCTTCTAAACTGAATTAGAAATAAATTTGCTTATCCAAAATTCTTCTGAACTAAAAACAAACCCCTGCACCTTGTTGTCTCGGAAAGCCTCTCTGCTCCTATGATGCTGCTTGGCCTGCTGTGTTCGTCCAGCCCTGCACCTTGTTGTCTCGGATTCTCCAGCATCTGCAGTTCCTACTATCTCTGATATGGTTTTACATGTTTACTTTACCTATCATAAACCCATAAACAGGCATCCACAGTCTCCTGCCTCATGAGAATCTATTGAATTTAAATTACTATTCTGGAAGATCTCTGTGACCTTTTTTTTTGTAATAGAAATGCCTTCACAGAAGTAACTAATATCCATCTGCCTCTACTTTGAACTCCAAGTGCCAAGAAGGCCACCAATATATATAAACTTTACATCCTTCATCACACTATTACAATTGCTTTGAGACCTCTAATAATGGAGATTCTATATACAGACAAGTTGAATTTTATTATAAATTCTGTAATTTTCAAGTCAAAATCTTTTCTAAAATACTTTTACAAATTTTGTGAATAATGTACACTTTTGGAGAAAGGCTTTCTTTTTCCAGGTTGTAATATCAAACGAGTGTCAGAATTGGTAACAGTAACTAGATCTAAGGTGAATTCTTGTTGTTAAAATTTCTAAAACAAAGTTGCAATGAAGAAAGAATAGAGAATGGAGCCATTGCAGCTGCAGTAGTTATGTTAGCTGAAAGAAGAAAAAAATTAACAATATCTCGTAAAAACCAAAATAATTTAGTAAACAGCTCAGCCTTCAAGTTCCAATATGAAGCCCTATTGCTGCCAGTGTTGTAAGACATGCTTGTTACATGTCTTGTGATACATCAGGCAGGGGATCTTCTGCAAATTCTAATGTGACATTTTCTTCGTATTTTTTTTTACATTTCTTTTCTTACACAATTCAACCCTTGTAAAAACGAAACTTCTAATGTGTCTTAATACAAAAACCTATCCACTTTCCTAAGTTATTTAAAACAAATCTTTCTTCCTTTTGTACTGCCTTCCTACCACACACCTCCCAGAATAGAAAACCTTAACTGGACTCACCCGGCAGCCACGTTTCTTTCGATGAAGTGATCCTTCCTCTTCAGTGTTCTTTCAATCACTGTATCGTATCAGAGCCTGTCAACAATTATACCATCAGCTTGTGTGCATTTGGCTGTAGCATGTTTGCAATCTGCCTTTTCTTGCTAACTAGGAGGGCCAAGCATCAAAGTTGCCAAACCTGTTTTATCTTCTTACAAATATTTTAGCTACCTGCAGTGACGGCATAGTGATTCAAACTAACCCTCGAAGTATCACAGATGTCATCAATTTTTCTTTTTTGTTATTTGATTCTTCGCCTTTTGCAGTATAAGCATTTCTTTAATTAATAAGGTAGAATAAAACACACCCATGTCACTGGCCAACTCTTATTTGCAGTCATTACTTAAACTTCATAGAATCCCTACAGTGTGGAAATGTACCATCTGGCCAATCGAGTCCACACTGAAGCTCCGAAGAGCATCTACAGAGATTTGACCAAACACCACCTCCCCCCACCCTTACCCTATCCTCATAACCCCATATTTCCCATAGCTAGTCCACCAAGCCTATACATTATGGGTATTTTAGCATGGCCAATCCACCTTAAATGCAAAGATAACACAGTGTGGAGCTGGAGGAACACAGCAGGCCAGGCAGCATCAGAGGAGCAGGAAAGCTGACGTT